TCGCCACCCCGCCTCCCGCCCCCCCCCCCCGCCCGCCCGCCGCTTTAAGCCGGGAAGCGGTAGCACCTGCTAATGCAAGTGTTTAATATTTGATGGGCTGGGATAAAGCAGGATCACCTTCGAATTGAATTGAGTGTCAGCCGAGAATCTATTACTGAAATTCGGGTGTGATTTGACAGCAAAGTAGACGATGTTATTCTTCACTAGTTACTGCAATCTTCTCCCCGACATCACTTAAATATTTTTTTCTTTGCTTGAGTAAACACACATTATCCTTCTTTTTTTCCCCCTTCCTTCCCTTTTTCCTTTCTAGAGGGGAAAAAAACCCATCCAGCTCGCCTTTTCCAGGCTGATAGAGTAGATTGTTATTTCTTTATTTGTCCTATTAAATGGAATTTCTGATCGTTTAATCCGGCCTTTGTAAGTGATTTTAAAGTACTTGAAAGGCAGCCGCCACTGCTCTCTGGCCCACTGAGCTCCAGCCTCAGCCCAGCCATGCTCAGCAGCTCCTCCAGTTGGGCCCCGCCCACTGGCTGTGTCCCCTTACTGCTTGTGCTCTGGCTCTAGGCCAGCATCCTTCCCTGTCCTTGAGTCCCACACCTAGTCTCTGATTTGTGGGTTCAGCTGTGATCTGGGAGAGGGTGGGGAGGATTGGCTGGGAAGTTGGTCTGTGGCTAGTACCTCTGTGGTCAAGGAAAATGGAAATTGTTCCCTATTCTCTGAGTACCTGTGGGGCTGGAGAATTGGTTCCTGCAGCTGGGAGGAAGGGAACTGGCTTTCTGTCCAGCCCTTGGGCCCTGGCATAGGTACTGTTTCCAGCCTGTGTTTTTTTGTTTCTGGCTTTGTCCTGGGCCTTCCCTTCTATATATATAGTGGGATGAGGATCTCCTGGTCCTGCCAGTGGGTGGGGGCACTTCACTGCCTGGCTGAGCATGGCTGGGAGTCACTTTGGTTCTATCCCTGTGGGAACTCACTCAAGCTTTATGTTCCTTCCTGCTGGTCACCTTCCTGCCATTGGGAAAAGGGCAGCCTAGTGTTTGAGAACTTCTGAAGTAAGGGATGGGTACTGTTTAAAGGGTCAACTAGTTACCAAGCCCACTGAGAGAAGCCAAGGACTTGGTTGGTACACAAAGCAGAAATTAAATCCCATCCAGCCTCTTTAGAGCCTTCTAACCTACACCAGCCTCTTCGTTCTAGGCCTCAATTTCCTCATCTGTGACAGACCAGTCATGCCCGAAAGGGAAGGTGCTGTCCCTATCCTGCCATGTGTTCCTCCCCAGATGGAGGTTGCTGGCAGCCAGGTGGCGCGGTAGGAAATGGAGGGCGGCAATGGAGTGCTGGGGACCTGAGCAGATCGATGCCCCTAGCACTTCCTTCCCCAACCCCAGGAAAACAATTAAGTACAGATCGATGGGTAGCCGCTTTGAATATGCATAAGTGAGCACTTGACCTTCAGCAGAGCATCTGCTCCCCCCACCGCACACACACATACACAAACTCACATCATGTACTCCCCTCACAGCTGCACGAGTCAACTATGCAGTAACCCCTCTCCCTCAATGGAGCCCCACTGGGCACTCAGAGCCTTCACCACAGCCTTGCCTGCATAGTCAAAAGCATTGAGCATGGACATGTCAATCACCAGCTCTCACTTCTTGTCTGTGGGGTAAAGTTTGTATACACTGGTCTCCTAGGTCCTTCCTGAGGCCAGTCTTTGTGATCAGGGCTAATGGGGAGAGGGATTCCAGCAATGTTCTGGGGGCTCTTGGCAGAGGCAGTCTGAGGAGTGCATGGTGAAGTGGGCCCCAGGTGCAATGGAAGGTGCTGATAAGGACGGTCTTAGTAAGTGGGAGCTTTCTAGAGAGAAGCTCTGGTGGGAGACCCACCAGGGCTAGGGGTTCTAATGGGGCAGAGCCCAGGAGGAAGGGGATTCTGAAGAAGAAGGGGTGAGGGATGTTGCCAAAAAGGAAACCCAAGGCAGCAATAGAAGACTGAACTCTTGGTGGGAAGAGTTGGGGGCTAGGGAGGCTGGTGAGTGGGGTCAGTTCTGGTTAAGGCCTGTGTTAATCACTCTCACCTCCTGTCTTCCAGGCTTACAGCTTCGCCATGGGCTGCTGGCCCAAGAACGGACTTCTAGACATGAACAAGGGTCTCAGCCTGCAGCACATAGGCCGGCCCCACAGCGGCATCGGTCAGTCCCTCCGCGTATCCCCTGGCAGCTTGGTCAGTCCCCTGCACGCATGTCTCAGTCCCCTGTCACATGGAGGGTTTCCATTGCTTATTCAATGCTCTGACAGGGTTTTCTCCACAGCCAAGGGGAGGAGAGAAGGTAGGGTGGAGCAAGGGAGTTCCAGACTGGAACCATTGGAAAGGACCTCTCAAAATACCATTTGACACGAGGCTGACTTTGGGCTTTGAGTGAGTCACAGGTGGTCTCAGATCGAGGCCAACTGCCCCCCCTTTTGTGGGCAGCAGTATCCTCAGGGAGGTGGGCACATGTCAGCTTACCCACCCCCTGTGGAGCTGGAGGAGGCTGTTTAATATTGTTTCAAGACTGTGACCACTAAACTGGGCGATCAATGGGAGTTAAGGAGATGAATTATTTAAACCTCACCAGCTTTTAATTAGTCAGGGTCCTTCTGACCGATGGCTTCGTCCACAGGGTATTGCCTGTCCCACAGGAATGGCCTCCACTGAGTGGTGCCTACATTGGGAGGGGCCATTTGGGGTGCTAGTTTGGGGTGCACCCTCAGGGGACTCCAACTTGGAAGGAGACTGGAATGACTGTGATTCCAGGCAATTGGAGGTCTGTAGGCTTCTAATACAGCAGTATAAATACGCATTTTTGAATATCATTGTGTCTGCCTGTCACTGACACCTTTAGCTCCGTGTCTCTGAGTGTCTAAGGGTATAATGTGTCCATGATTGTGCATATCTGTTTGAGGTACAATACTTCTGTATTTTTCTAAGGGCATATGTCTGTACATGGAAGCAATCACTAGCTTGTGGGTGGATCTGTTAGAAAGAGTACCTATTCATTTCCATGTTAGCTTATTTTGTGTGCATTTGCCTGTGTGTGCATGCAGATGTTTTCTGGTGGCAGACTTGACCAGACATAAGCTTTGTTCTAAGTAGGGAGGCACCAAGATGTACCTGGGTGGCACTAGGACCTTGTCATAACTTGATTACTTTGGGGAAGATGTCATTGGTAGGGGCTGAAGAGATGTGAGAGAAGGATGGGAGTTGTAGGCACCAACTGCAGACTAGCCTCTTCATCCATTCCATATTCACTCGTGCCTAGTGAGTGCAGAGCATGCTGAATAAGCGTTCCTGTCCTCAGGGAGCTCACATCCTCAGAAGAGACTGTGACTGAAATTTTCTTGCCAGCCAGGGTACTAAGGGCTGTGATAGAAACATGTAAATTGACCCGAGGGAGATCGTCCCCCTTCTCGATTGCCAGTGTAGCTCCTGCTTCTTCATTTACGTCTCATTGACGCCTAGGATATTCTGTATCATTCTTGTTGGGACATGGCAAGGCTCTTCTAAGGCCTGGTGGAAAAAAGAAGTGGTCAATAGGCCCAGGGAACTTGGGATACCCCACCATTACTGCTATTCCCTCCTATAGAAGTTTTTCCATGCACCTCACAGAAGAAACCAGACACATCTAGATGTGTGCCTGGGAGGTGAACAGAAAGTCTCCTAGAGAAGAAACTTGTGGGATCCTTGAAGGATATAGATAAATAGGAGTTTTCTAGCCAGAAAAATGAAATAACTAGGGCCATGAGAAAGCCCAGCATATTGAGAGACCAGTTTAGACATCTACAAGCAGTTTACTGAGACTGGAGTAGAAAAAAGGTAGGCTAGAGAATAGCTAGAAACTGAATGGAGAAATAAGTAGGATCTTGAATGCCTGGTTAAAGGGTATGTGTTTTTCTTTTGAGATTTAGAGGAGATACAGAAGGTTTGTGAGTAAAAGAATGATATGATCAGTGCTCTGATTCAGGGTCATTGAGACAGTTTATGTTGGACAAAACTAGGCCTTAGTAGATGCTCAGTAAATGCTTGTAGATGGATGGATGAAAAGCTGAGTGAGTAAATGAATCAGTGGAAAAGTTATGGGAAAGGGAGTGACCAGAGAGGGACTTGCCCTCGTCCAGCAGGGGAGGAGCTGCCAGTAATGGATCCTGGCCGTGGGAGGAGCATCTTGCCTTGAGCTAGGTGTCTTGCTTTTGTGTATCTGTCCTGGGAGGGCAGGTGTTTGTGAGGCAAAGTAGCTCTTCTTTGGTGCCTCTTGAGTCTCAGTGACACCCCTCTTGTCTCTTTACCCTTGTGATCCCAAATTAGGACCTTTGGAGCATTTGCCTCCATCTGGGTGGGCCCTCCAGGGTCAGCCCAAGGCTTTAAGTGACAGTAAAGTACAGATTTTGAGATTTTAAAGCTAGAACTAGCTGTGGCCCTTCCATGCAGAACTATGGGACCTTAGATAAGGGTACAGTACTTCCTGCCTTTGAGGGGTATAGGGAGGGTCCAATGCATAACCCATATAAAGGGCCAGTGTGGTGCCTGTCCACAGTGGGTACTCAGGGAGCTTCCTCTCTGTGGTCCTGCCAACACCAGGGCTTCCCAGGGCACTGGTGTTTCTTGGCACTTGGTCTTGCAGTCTTTGAATGAAGAGGGTTGCCCTGCCAGCTCCTGGATGGCTCTGAGGTAGGTGAGGGTGCTTGGGAGGAGGGAATATGTAGGGCATTAATTGGGCTGGGAGAGGCGGGGAGGAGAGGCGTGGGTTTTGAGCAGTGAGGTTAATGGCCCTAGCGCCAAAGAGACAGCTTTAATGAGCTTCAGCTGCCGGTGCCCCGAGTTACTGTGCGTGCTAAAAGGGTTGCGCTGTAAGAGTTTGATGTGGACTGCTTCCCAGCCCTGGGGTCAGAGGTCAGCTCCTGTCACTGGCCACTCAGGCTGGTCCTCAGTGACATGGTGCTAATTAACTGTGTGAAGAGCTGCCATCCTGGAGTGGGGAGTGGTATGTATATTGGCGGGGGGTGAACCGGCATTGGGTGGTGCTGGGCAAGAGTTCTGCAGATTCCATTGCTCAGCCATCTCCAGAGTGCTTGGCTTTCCCACATTTCCATGGTGCTGTGTCATTGGTAGCATGGGGTCAGGCTTGCAGAGGGGTGGGACGACAAGTGCAGGGCTGGGAGATAAGACCGTGGAAGGGAAGAGAGCCAGGTGGGATAGTGGTGCGTCCTGAGAAGTTTGAGGGGATCATGGGAGTGTTTGGGCAGGGGAGTGACTGAGTGAGATTTGGGCTTTGGTCAGAATGGTCTGATAGTTTGTATAGGAAGGCCTAGTGAAGAGTGCATGCTGGGAGACCAAAGGGAAGGTCCAAGAAGGTGAGCAAGAGTTGATGGGCAATGTAGAGCCAGGACAGTAGCCATGAGAATGGCCAGGGGACCAGGTCAGCCTTTCCTTCATTCACTGAACATTTACCTTCCATCTACTGTGTGTCAGGAACTGTGACCAGGGCTGGAAATGAATGTCAGACACAGTGCCCTGTCTCCACAGAGCTCATAGTTAGAATTGTGAGCTTTGCTCTCGGGACTGAGGGAGAAAATGGGTTGAGGGATGGCTGAGGAAGCCCGGAGGCAGTGGTACACTTGGCGGAGGGCTGTTGGAGGTTTGTGAACTGATGACTGACTTCTTTCTGGGGTAGCAGGTCTGGCCTTGGGATTGTGGGAACAGATAGTACTGGAGTTGGGAACATAGGAGGGAGTCAGAGGCACTTTGTATGTGTTGTCCATGCTGACTTCCATGGCTGCTGTGGCTCTACCAGCACCCTGGATTTGGGCCAAAGGCTGTGAGGCAAGGAATCCTGCCCAGGGGACCTGACCCTTTCTTCCATTCCAGTAAAGCGCTAGCAAAGCACTCACATTGCACTAGAGTACTTTCTGTTAACTGATTCAGTTTTTACAGGCAGGCTTCTTCATTCCCATCTTATAGATGAGGAAACTGAGGCTTTGTTCTGCGACTAGACAGTTGAGTTGAGCCAGGATTCAAACCCAGGTCCATCCAGATTCTTACCACTCTGCTGACCTATGAGGTGCCTTTTTGGTTTTGGCTTTGTGCTCCCAACAAGATGATATGGAAGAAGACAAGCTCACTTTGCACATTTCTCTCAGTGCTGTATGAAACCTGCAGGCTGTGGCAAAGCTTTGGCATCGAGAGCTGAGGAGGAGAGGAAAGATGACACTGCTGTCCATCAGACCTGCTGCAGCCTGGGGCCTGTACCTACTGGTCTTTGGCCCTGACAGGCTTCCCTCCGTGATTGCAGTTTGCTATCTACCTCATGGCCCAGGAAAATCCTGGCCTTCTTCCAGGGGTCATCTCCTCTGGAGCTCAGCCTGGCCCTCCTAGTATGAGCACGAAGAAGACATGTTTGGCCCAGTGTCATTTGTCAGAGGGAGTGACAAAGTCCTTCATCTTTGAGCTCCCTAAGGCAGGGCCTGGGCTCCTTCCCTTCATTTTGGAATTCTGTAGAGGAAGCACCAGTAGAATCTCGCCTGCTATTGTGGTAGAGGCCCCCAGACTGCTGGTTTCACAGGATGGGGTGAATAACTCAAACCTTCCCTGATGCCTGACTGGGTGGGCCTGCCCTGGGAACTTTTAGTCCCTGTGCTCCAGGACTCAGGGATCCCTCTGAGTCTCAAGGACCATAGCCAGCGGGACTCTCAGGAGCTTGCTGCCCAGCACAGTTTGGCCAGAGAGCTGGGCTGGCAGGTGGCAAAGTGGGGCCTGGCTACCAGGTGTGGGCAGTTCTGGCCTGTGGTGCCTCTTGAAGGAGTGGGTGTCTATCAGAGTCCAGTCAGAAGGCATTAGCTCTGTGACACAGATCTCATTAGTGCCCGTGAGAGGTGTCACTGCAGGAGAAGCATCGGCTCAGGGAGATGCTTATACCAAAAGGAAGAAAGGACAGTGACAGCCTTTTCTCTGCCGCCTCTGCCGCCACGCTCACTGGGCTGCCCGCCCTCCTCCTCGTGGGGGGGGTGGGGGGTGCTGGCTAATGAGCTCATCTATAGTGCAGCTTTGCCTTCCCCTCCTTGAAGTTTCCCAGGTCCCTCTGAAGACCTCAGGCCCGGGATTAGCACACACCAAACACAGGCCCCCCTCTTGCCCAGCAGGGAGTTCCTTCTGATC